TTGCTAATACAAAACACTGAAAAGGAAAGAATAAAATACTCCTTAAGAATTTTTTTCCACTCCACTTCTTTCCATTTAATACCAAAAAGTGCTAGTTTGGAATGCCACCTTAATCTAGGCCTTTTATTAGTATAGAAAGCATCCAATGAAGTACCATCTGTGTCAAAAAAAAAAAAAAAAAGAAAAAAACAGATGAAATATTATCAGGCTACTGAAAAGCTATATGTACCTCATTGCCATCTAGCAGGTTTAAACAAAAGCTTTTAAAAAAATTTTGATTGCAATAAAACTCACAGCACCAGGTAGACAGGAATCATGATTACTCACCAAAGCAGCAAATGCCCAGCCAGTTTTGTTATACAGAAAATCCAGATTGCTCCCACGTAAATACACAAGGCCACCAATGACAGCCAGCAGCAGCCCTAACATCAGTGGTCCAGCATAGTTTGGTGGCCTTATCACACGAATCTGCACACAGAAGATAACTTCATTATTTTCTCTCAACAAGGTAACATGTAACATCCTTACACCTAAAAAACCCAACATATTAGAATAGAAAAACACCAACTCCAAAAAAAACCTCCCATAAGTTTCTATAAGAAGCTTTGACCTGAAAAGTATGTAAAGTTTCCTCCTCCTTTACATCCTACTACCTTACCTACTAATTGAAACAATTTCTTCCTCAGAAACACAAGAAGAAAGTTGATTTTTACCATCTTATCACACATAGTGTTCTAGTATGTTGTCTGTTGCTAAGTAAGGAACCTTAAAAATGTGGTTATGTGCTCAAACAGAATCTCTCAGAAGAGACACCTTCCGCTAGACCAGGCAGCTCAATGCACCATCCAGCCTTGCTTGGAACATTCCCAGTGATGGAAGATTATGTAGGCAATAACTATTTAGAGTATCTGAGATTAGACTTATCAATAAAACACAATTAACAAATATCACAGCCAGAATGACACAACAGGGAGTGCTGCAGAGGTGGTGAGGGACAAAGCCCCCCTCTGTGCACACTTACATTGACATCAGTTCTGTCAGCCACCCATCGAGCAAGCTGCTCAGCCGCAAAGCCGCGCACCTGGAGCTCATACGTGTCACCTCGTTTGGGCTTCCCTTTGGCAGGAAAATTAATGAAGGTTGGAGCAGAATTCATGTTCAGCTGTATTTAGAAAATCCACAGAAAACACAGCACCATCAGAGGTCTACTAAGCAACACATGCCTCCAGTTCATCTGCATGGTGCAACAGCCACCAAGTCGATTAGAAAGCACGAGTATTCAAGGAAGAAGCTGCACAGTTACTTGAGCAAAGCATTCCACGCACATCAGCTTACGCTTCTGTATCTGATGAAAACAGACCAAGTTCTTGCCTCTTCTAAGACAATAATTAATACCATTCTGTACTTTCCTTTGTATGAGCCAAGCTGTCTTCTCTCTTAAGCAGTCAGAAATAACTTCTGCTCTCTGCTGCCAGCTGATCTGGATAGTTGGGGAAATTGCTGCTGTTTGCTTGTTTTTTTAAACACATCTGAGTTTCCTTTCTGAATTAGCTGATGTTCCTTTGTCAGTACTCAGCTGTGCAGTAAGCACTGCAGAGGTTCCATCCAGTTAACATTACAACAAATAAAAGCTTTTTGTTTATAATGTGACATTATAGCATCTTTAGGTTCCATCCAGTTAACAGGACATTACAACAAATAAAAGCTTTTTGTTTATAATGTGACATTACAGCATCTTCTATTTTTGATTAACCTTTTCCTAATTAAGACCTTTCCCCAACACTATTTTCCCCAGAGCATTACGGTGTTTTTTGAAGCTATTTACTCTATACACACTATCTGGAAAGAAATCATCAGAACAGGAATATGTACAATAATTTATATAAGTCATAGCTTAGTGAATTAATTTTTGATGAAACACCATGGGAAAATAAAGCAAGAATACTGAAAGTTTCCATCCCCCCTTTCCAAAAGCTTTCATATACTGAAATAGCATTGCCTAAATTGCATAGCTTTTAAATATTGAGATGAGCACCTCTTTAAAGAAAAATTAATACTTGAAATCTATAGTGAATGATTAATTCTACCATTCCATGTATGCTTGCAATTGTAGTTCTCATACTTTTTTTGTTACTTAGTAGAACAGCAAAATAAAAAAAGAGTAGGAGTCAATCAGTATTGAAAGCTTAATCCACTATTCCTTTCTTAACCATTCCTAAGGACTTCAGTGTTTTCTGTCTTGCCTCTTCCTATACTGCAGGAGAATCCATGAAAAAGGAGCCAGACCCTGAAGCAACAGTCAGATAAGCTAGCATATCCTTTGTGCCAATTCCATATTTTTCAGTGCTATTAATGCCACTGCTAAATACTACTGCCCTCATCTCGTCATCTCACTACTCACCTGAGTGGTAGCTTTTAACTTCTGAGCTCAGTAATTCTACACGTCTTTAATCATTGCGATACGTTTTATACACATCTTTACCCTCATTCTTCAAAACACAAGTTAAAAATAGAACAGAAAGAGAACATTACCATCTGAAACACATCTGAGCCTTCATCAAAATCTACCATAGCAAAAAAAATCTTATTGGTAAATGCACTGGAATATCGCCAGGAATTTGCCAGGATCTGGTATTCTTCATCAGCTTGCCTGTAAACACACAAAGTGAGATGCTGTGTGTCATGTGTCAGCCCCAACACAAATTACAGAACAGCTACAAGAGCAGTAGCTCTCCATCCCACTGAAAGGAGCACTCCATTCACCCTCCTCATTTATTTTCTCATGTTAAAACATTAAAAAAAAAAAAAAAATCAGGGCCACATTTACACCTAAAAAAAAAAAAATCAAAGCATTTAGTACCACTGATTGTACTTTAAAGCCCAAGATATAGGTCAAGTGTCACTGCATCCATAATCAGGAGCAATGATAATTTCCAAATAATTTTTTGAAATGCAGCCCAGAAACTCCTGATTTACTAATCCTTGGGGCACTGAAACGAACAGAAGTGTCCACCTGTCTGCATCAGAAGATGGAATACCAATTAACTTGAAATAACTTGGTACAGAAGTTACAGGAGCTGGTCAGGACCAGCAAATTATCAACATAAATAAAACGTCAATGAATATTATTAACTAACAGCAACTTTTAGACTGCAAGGCCATCAAGTAAACCTGCAAACATTTCTTCAGTAGTACATGCCAATAAAGTTGAGCTTTCACCCTCTCTCTGTGCAGAAACTCAGCACTGTGAGCATTTTCTCTGAATAACATCAATTACTTCAGGAGGAAAATAAATAACAAGTACATTGTTTTCCCTCAGTATAACATAAGCATTCCCATAGAATATCAAAAATAACATATGACATACTTCAGTATCATGTACTTTTACGTGCATGAAAGAGTTAGTCTTTTAAATTTAACCTCCTGAAATCACATGATGACTTTCAAGTTGCAGTTGATGAATTAAGGCCATACTTGCACACAACACATTGTCTGTGAGGCTGAAGAGCAGTGAACATCACAATCACCGAGTAGTTTCTGGGTGGTGCCTTCACAAGACGGCGGAACTTGTCACCGTTCATTCGTATCACAGATCTCTTACTCGTCCACTCCATCAGCTGGCTCACTTTTTCTGATAACACCATCTGAAAAGAAAATCAGAGAAGGAACGTTGGTTTTCCTGTGGGTGCTTTTCCCTCTAATCTCTCCCAGCACGGACTTGAAGATTTGTATACAGCACTGCATTCTACAAGAACACAAGCTACACGATGTGATACTTCATTCAGCTTTCAGCTCTCAAAGGCACTCACAGAGCTTTCTGACAATCGCATCGTTGATAAGGATGTTAATTTACATCAAGTGTTTACACACTGACAAAAGCTGCCTGCTCCAAAGTACCTTCCTATGCTGCTAATGGTGAGGTTTGTTGCCTTGACACAAGAGAAGGCTGTGCTGCCATTCAGCAGGACCTGGACAGACTGGAGAGGTGGGCATAGAGAAAACAGGTGAGGTTCAACGAGGGCAAACACAGGTTCTGCACCTGGAGAGGAATAACTGCACGCATCAGTACAGGTTAGGGGCTGATCTCCTACAAAGGAGCTCTGCAGAGAAGGAGCTGGGTCTATAGTAGCCAAGAAAGCCAATGATATCCTGGGTGCATTAAAAAGAGCATGGCCTGCAGGATGAGGGAGGTGATCCTCTCTCCCTGTTCTGCCCTGCTGAGGCCACATCTGGAGCTCTGTGTCCAGTTCATAAGAGGAAAAGAACTTCTAGAGAGCCCAGCGGAGGGCCACAAAGATGAAGAGGGGCCTGGAGCATCTCCTGTACGAGGAAAGGCTGAGAGACCTGGGGCTGTTCAGCCTAGAGAGAATGTGAGAGGGGACGTCAGCGCTGCTCATAAACGTCTCAAGTGTGGTAATCAAAGCGATGGGAGCGGGCTCCTTTTGGTGGAGCGCAGCAATAGAACAACGGGCAGAAACTGGGCAAGAAGTTCCGTACGAACACCAGGAAGCCAAACAGCGCAGCCCGGCAGCTCCCCAGGGCCTGAGCGCTCCGCCGCATCAGCCCCTCTCCCCCCCCCGGCTCCGGGCACTCCGCTGAGGCCGTGATGGCCGCGCACCGCCGCCTCACCTCCTTCCTCTTCTGCCCCGCAGCGCGCGGCCCACCGCAGGCCAGCAGCAACACCAGCACCAACACCGACAGCGCCGCCATCGCCGCCCCTTACCGCCACCTCGCACCTACTGGCCGACCCACAGAGCCGCGACACCACCCACGTGCTTCCTATTGGCTGCGGCACCAGCCCGCGTCTCATCGCCCGCATTTTATTCGCAGGCTCTGCGCTCAGCTCTGGAGCGGCAGCCAATGAGGGGGAGGCAAGCTGGGGCAGCCGGATTGGCGGAGCTGCGTTGAGGGGCGGGCTCTCGCAAGGCGGAGTAGACGTTACGCTGCGCGCTGTGGGAGGAGCGATGCGCTCCAATTTTTTGTCATTGAGTGTTCGTGCGGCTGCTGTTCTGCAGGCTGCAAGCTGCGCTGTGCACGGACTTCCCGGCTCCTGCCTGCGGGCGCTGCGGCGGGGATGAGCCTCGCGTCGGGAGCCACTCCGAAAACAAAAAGAAACACGGAACAAAGCTGTGCGGAGCTCCGTCGCTCCCCAGAGCCGTCCCCGCTGTTATAAACGCGTGTCTGTCGCTGTGCCGTGTATTTGAAAGGTGGTTAGAAGCGTGAACGAAACGCACTTGTAAAACTTTCAGTAACGGGCTGAGGGATATCAAGCGGTTACGCTTCATTCTGCCTGAGTACGTACGTTATATAGAACACCATCCTAGCGCTGCGGAGCTCACCGCGGTTTCTTATTGCGCTTCATCTGTTTAGATTGTGTGGAGGGGGATTGGTGCAGTTAGAAAGAGGAAAAAAAAGTGGTGTCAGAAGTGGGATTCGAACCCACGCCTCCATTCGGAGACCAGAATACCCAACCGCCGTCGGAAGGCGCGGCACGCCTTGAGTCTGGCGCCTTAGACCACTCGGCCATCCTGACACTGCGTACAAAACGGCCGCTGGGAGGCTCTTACTCCTTTCGTCATCGGTGCGCCAGCTCATCATTGCAGGCCCGTTTTCTGGCGTTATGCGAAGAGGCGCTCCTCAATCTGTACACTGGAGAGCAAGAGCCCCGTCCCTCTCCCAGCTACAGAGCTTTCCCCGCTAGGGCTCCCACGTAGCGAAAAGATCCCGCCGCCCCGTGGCACCTCGGCGGAACTACATTTCCCAGAGGGCGTCACTCGGCGGCGCAGCGCACTGGCGACTTCCGGCGCGGCCATTTTGTTTTTCACCGCTCTCCAAGGGTACCGCATCCGCCGCCGCGGTCGGTCTGTGCTTGGCGCCATGTTTCCCGTGGCCAGGGCTGCTCTCAACCTCACGGGTAAGGAAGGGGCTCTCCGGATCGCGGCTGCGCTGGGGCCCTCGGGAAGCTGGGGCAGGCCGTTTCCTCAGGGCTCAGCACGGCTTCCTGCCGTCCCTGTCAGGGCTCCCAGCCTGGGTCCCGTCACAGGGCGTCTCTGGACTCGCCTCGCCCCGTGAGGTTCAAGGCGGCAGGTGGAGGCCGCTGTCTCTTCGTTCTTCCTCCTCTTCTTCCTCTTTTTTACCGCCTTTAGTCGAGCTGACCTTGGGTTCCCTTGCTCGGTGCTTTTCCTCCTTGATCTGAAAGCACATCCAGATCACGTATTCTGCACAGAGGTGGCTCGGTGCTGTCAGTGCCAGATGCTTGAACTCACGGGTAAAGCAGTCCCTCTGGTGACAGGCTCACCAGTAATTAACCTGGTCCTCTCACATTTGGTGCTCTCACGAGCAGTTATGGTGTCCTTAGCTCAGCTGAGCTGTTTCAGCTGTTGTCAACGTAAAGGCAGCATGCTCACATTCACTGAGCACTCCATGGATGTGACAGCATTTGGGGTATCATCAGGACAGCAACAGCAGTCATGTTTTGAGACAGTATGTGTGAAATTCCTATTTAAAAAAAATGATGGATAATGGCTGTATGCACAGACCACTGTTTCATCAATTCATTTGTGTACAACTACTGTGCAATTTACATCTGTTGAAGCTGATAGTTTGATTCTTAAGTTTGTCTTTTAAATAAGACTATATGTTATGTATATCATATGTATGTTAATGAACATACCTCCTATCCTCTGAAGAGATCCTCCCATATCTAATCATTTATTATTTATATCATGCAAATTTCCATTTTCTTCTTCACTTCACTTTCCTCCCACTAAAAATCATAAAGAGAATGAGAAAGGTGTTCCTAAAACCCAGTCTTCAATCCTTTAATTTGATGATGGGCTTCCTCCTGAAAACGTTTGAGTACACATACTGAAAACGAAGGATTCCTAAATATGAAATCTCAAAAACAGATTCTGAAATTAAAAGCTTTACTTACTCAAATTACTTTCTTAGATAAATAGTCACACAGTTTTAACTGTACTTTAACTGCCACCGGGGACCCAGAGGAAAAAAAAAAGAAAAAGGTGACAGAAAGGATTTGATTCCTGGAAGCAGATTTCAGGAATAACCTTCACAGGAGAGAATGGGAAAGCTGAAACAAAATGTAAGGCTTTCTGTATCACAGAATGGCCTGGGTTGGAAGGGACCTCAAGGATCATGAATCTCCAACCCCCTGCCACAGGCAGGGCCACGTAAATCCCATACTTCGGAATTGTTCCAATAGGCTAAAGATAATTTTATTTCTAAAGTTTTTAAATGAAGTTTTTTATTGCTGATGTTTTTGATTCTCTCTAATATTCCTTAGCTCGTGGTGCTCAGCGTACTGCAGTAAGACAAACTCATCATCGCAAACATGAACCAAGCTTCCATGATAAATATGGAAATCTGGTGCTGATTGGCGGAGCAGCAGTTTTTGCTACTGTCTGGGGATATGTAAGTCTTCCCTTGCTTTACCACTTTGTTGTGATGTAGCTGTAAACTTGTTAGCTATTTTCAGAAGGGCTCACTTGTTGCAAATATCTTAAGCGATAAGAATTTTGGATTTTTTTGAAGTCACTAGCAACATGACAGAAATTGAGATGTATTACTTTGTGTTTTGAGTTTTTACATGTTTCAGCATTTCACTGATTTTTAAAATGCAGCAGAAGTAAGCATTATCTATTTCACTGGGGTTGTGTAAGATCAATAAGTATATAGATGCTGTAAAGCATTGGATGATCAATAAGCATACAGAGAAGTTAGGCTAGTAAGATTATCACATTGGAAAAGATGATCAGAGATAAATGGAAAGTACTCACCAGTGTTGTAGGCTCCCAAGAAACTCCACAAGAAGCAATCTCTAGAAAAAGAGCCTTCCTCAGTGGCGGTCAGCCCTTAAATGGGGTCTAGGAGAGGCAACCAGGCTCCACCCCTTCCAAGTAGAATTGCCTTCTCCTGTGTTCCCACACAGGTGACTTAGTGCTCACCCCAGGTGGTCAATCAGAGGTTCAGGCCATGATCCAACTGTTCCCCTAAAGGTTACCTAAGCTATTCAGGCAGAAGTTTTAGCTGAAGATGTTATGATGTTAATTTTAATTTTTACTGAAGTTATGGTGAAAACAGCTTGGATGATGTACAGGAAATGAATTTAGTGATTTAGTGAATTTTAGTGATGTGGTTTTACATCCTAGACTCTTAGTTCTAAAGTTAGGTATTTTGAAATAGAAAGCTGAAGTATTTAAGTAATGTTCAACATAAATATTTCCCACTTCCTTACAGAAAGATGAATACAATAACATATTCTAGTACAAGAAATCTAAACAAAAAGCAGTAGAAATATCCATGTATCAGAATGTTTCTTTGATTTCAGAGTTAATAATGTTGATTTTTATCTTCCTACAGGTGCTTACAAAATCTGGAATTGAGTGGGGCTTGTCACCAGTTGGCAGAGTCACTCCTAAAGAGTGGCAGGAGTAACGCTTTTGCTTATAATGAACTGGTCCAAGCTTTCACAGGAGAAAAAAAACACACGTGCATGAACATAATGGCATTTGTTCCATGGGTACCACTTGTGCTGTGGCATTCCTGGTCTAATAAACATACCTAGAAACCTGTCTCGCTCTTTGAGGTTTCCTCTATGTTGTGTCTTTTTGCTGAGGAAACGTAAGAAGACTTAAGTGGCCTGTATGAGGTAATCCCAGCTGTTCTTGTCACGGGAGGATAATGGAGAGGTCCAAAAATACGGTGCAGTTTCCTGCAGAGTTCACACTGCTCCCTTGGAGTACGGCTGGCCTTCTGACAGCAACCTTTGCATTTCCCTTTGGATCCTTTTCCCACATCCCACCCTGTGAGCGAGCTGTGCCTCTCTCAGGCTGGCAGATGCTGTGTTTCAGCTATCTCTAAGTTGGTCGGACACGCTCCCGGTGGCAGTCGGTAGCTCAGCACTGCTCTTCGCTGACGTTTAGAGAAATAGAGGATTTCAGGTGCAAGTCTTTACTAATTAAAATGGCGGGGGTAGTTTAGAGGCCCTCATAAACAGCGGAGTCACTTTGAAACGCGATTTCCGCGCGTCACGAAGCGGCAGGCGGCTGAACCGGCCGCCCCCATCGGCGCCGGCTTACCAGGGCGGCGGGCGGCAGCACGTGACGGCCGCGCGTGTCACGTGAGCGGGCGCCGCTCGCTGCCGTGGCGGCGGGGCGGGACGGGGCGGTCGCTGCGCAGCGCTCAGTGCGGCTCGGCGCTCGCGGCCTGCCCGGAGCGGCTTCTCCTTCGAACGCGGTGCCGGAGGTAGGGGCGGCTCGCGGTGCCGGCACGGCGGTGCGGAGCTGGGCTTTGGGTGGAAGAAGCGCGTTCGGAAACGTGCGGGGAGCGTCGCTCGCCGTGCGCTGCGGGCGGTGGGTGGGCGGGAAGCGGAGCCGCTGTCGCCCGGGGGGTTCGGAGCTGCGGATGAGCGGGACGCGGCGGGAGGCTCTGCCGCCTCCTTTGCTCCGGGCTGCTGCACGAACGTCCGGCGTTTTGCTTTCTCTTTGCTGCGCTGCGGGTTTTTCCAATGCTTCCACCAAACGCGTAGTGTCGGTGCGCTGGAAGAGGGCCGGCGCTTGTTTGTGAGGATTTGCGGTAGTTCTCCTCGAAGAGGATGCGGGTACAGCAAACTGCAGCCGCTCTGTGCTCGTGTCTGCGAATCGCACGTAACTCGTTAGCGTAAAGTTGGTCTTGAAAGTCTCTACGCGGTCACCTAAATGGCACTTCTGTGCTTGGGAACCTGTTGCGTTGTGATCCTGGCTGTGAATAAGGGGAGTCCTGCAGTGTGGTAATGGTTGGGTCTGTGCTGGGACGGTTTGTGTAGAAGCACGTAAATAAAGAGTGCTTTATCCAGCTGTAGAGAGAAGACCTGGACTTGTTTTTCCTCTCCAGGTGATGAATAAGCGAAGGACGAGGCAGCATAACACAACACTCACTGGTGTTCCTCCAGTTTTCCCTTCTGCAGTGCATTGTGTTCTGTATGGCATCTTGAGACTAAGCCCAGGAACGGGAGCCCTCGGCTGACCTTGTTGTGCTCATGTAGCAAGTCTTGCTAAATTATATTCTGCTCCTAATGTTCATAATGATTCCTCCAGGGGAGCATCCACATTCTCCAAAAATCCATTTCAAAGAGTTAGTGGAAGGACAGGAGCAAGTGAGACAATTTGAGAAGAACTTGAATAGTTACAAAACTGTCCTTAGAACTGACACAGTATATACTCAGTTTGTGCTTTTTTTTTTTTCATCTGACTGCTATAGACATAAAACTCTTCAGGGAAGTTTCCAGTCTGCTGACCGAGCAGAAGTTGCTTAAGACTTGAGCAGCATGAATTACCCTGTGTAGTCTCACATAGCTGTCTGTGATAGATATTTATTATAGATGTGCAGTTTCCCACACTGAGTGAGCCTCATTAATCTGATCTGACTTTTAAATGTAACCATTTGTCGGGGGAAAAAAAAAAAAAAACCCACAAAACTCTCTTCTGTCAGACCAGGCTCCCTGGAACTTCAGTATTCTCATAAGCTGAACAAGATGATACAGCTTTGTCTTCTTATGCTGTCCTTTGTTCTTTTGTGTGTGTGTGCTTTTGGGGTCATTCAGGCATACTCTCTTCCACGTAATCTAATTAGGAATTTTGCCTTCTGATGCCACAAATGAAGCTTTTAGGTAAGACTGAGCCACTTGGAAGC